GATCGTGGACTAAACTAGTCTGCATTTCAAACTTACCATTTCATCATCCACTTCCCCGGGGTGTTGAGAACACTGCATACATGGATATATGTAATGCTAGACTCGCAATTGCACATATTTCTGAAAATGGGGATATTCTAATCAACGTTGGACATCAGGTAAGCTCCATAGGCCTAATGCTAAAGGGGGTAAGAATTTTAATATCTGCTATGCTCATGGTTATATGGTAACTAGTTACGTGGAGACCCTTATTTCACCGGCCATGATCGGTCCGTACATGATGATAGATGAAGTGCGCTACCAGTAGTGGTTATTGTGTTATTTGTATTTTAGCATTGTTGTTGAGAACTATTGATTTGTGTGAATGCAAAATGATTCTAAGTTAAATTTCATTGCAATTTAAAATGTACCCGCACAGACACTGTTTTCTATACATTATGACAGTAATGTTTTACCGCCCAATACATTATAAATTGTAATTTTATTTGACGATAGATGAATGGAGACAAAGACGAAAGTTTGAAAAATGAATATGGGGTAAATTTCTTTGGTGGAGTGGGGGTTTTAATTTATTGCATGCATGGAGCTAAAATCTATATATCTATATTCGCCCTACCAGATTCCATACCTACCTTTAATTTTATTATAAAACTACAAATTCATGAAAATGTCATTACACATTTAATTTTCTTAATGAGTTAATTCCATAAATGGCTTCATTACTATTGACATTTATCACTATTTATCTAGAACTTTCAATTGGACCTTAAATTGTTCAATGACCATTGATCTTTAACAATTTTTATCATTTACGTACTTTTAATATGACCATAAATGATTCATTGACTATTGATTTTGTTCTAAATTTGGTCCTCTGATTAAATATTCATTTAGTAAATATTAAATTTTAAGGGTAACAATAATGTAACAATTAGCTACCAGAATTGCGTCTCCAGATTGTATATTTAAAGGTGATAAAACAAATAATATAATCGCAATAAATTTGTTGCCGAGACTTATCTGTAGCCTAGTCCAAATTGGCTTATGCATCACCTTATTCTTCACATTTCCACTAATGTTGAACCCAATGTATTAAGTTTATGAACCCAATTTGTCCATCTCTTTGTCCATCTCAACAACAATCTAAGCTAATTTTTACATTCTTACACTTAAATTTAACGCTTTCGAAACGAATATTGAACATAAGGACCAAATATGGAACAAAATCAATAGTCAATGCACTATTTATGGTCAAATTTAAAATCGTGGATGAAAATTGGTAGAATTTATTTGTTAAAGAAACTCTTATGGTCCAATTAAAAGTCGGAGATATAAATTGATAAATGTAAATAGTCAAGGGACCATTCATGAAATTAACTCATTTCTTAATTGTGGATATATAGTTCAAATTATGCACAACATTACGCCATGCATGGTGCACACAGTTGCACAACATAATTTACAGTGGTGGAGCGTTGGGGCCAGAGACGGAGCCAAAGGGGGTTAGGGGGGGTGGGGGCAGCTGCCCCCCCCCCCCCACTCCACCCCCACCCCTTATATAATATTTGTATGTATCACTACTACAGAAAATAGCTTTAACTTCGGCTAAATGACCCCATTTAACGTCGGCTAACCTACGACGTCGACTAAAGAGACGTTGTAAGAAAATAAACGACGTGGGTTATTTAACCGACGTCGTATGTTTTTTAAAATTAAAAAATAAATATACGACGTTGGCTAATAGGCTATTAGCCAACATCGTATGTATATATATATATATATATATATATATATATATATATATATATATATATATATATTTAAAAACCTATACGACGTCGGCTAATAGGCTATTAGCCGACGTCGTATATTTTTTTAAAAACAAATTTATACATACGACGTCGGCTAATAGTCTATTAGCCGACGTCGTAAATTTATTATTTAATTTTAAAAAATATACTACGTCGGCTAATAGGCTATTAGCTGACGTCGTATTTATATATTTTTTTAAAAAAAAAATATACGACGTCGGCTAATCAGGAAGGACACAAAAATGAGTAGTTTATAATGGCATCCCAAGCAAAACATCGAAACACCGGGACCCTAAACGAAACATAATCAACTTCCCATATTTCTTCAATCACACCATAATATGACAACTCTGCAAACATGGGATTTTGCTCTTTCGAACTACTGAAATGCATTGAATTTGCAACCAAAGTAACTCCACTGTTTTGCATAGTGCTCTTTTCATCTTGAGCTTTTGTATAAAAAGAAAACCCATTAATGTCATATCCATTATGACATAAGACATCCAAACCAGGACCATGTGCTAACCATGAAACAGTTTCAGAAACATTATTCTCTTTAAGAACTTTATTTTTAAACCAACTGATAAAAGTTCGATTATGTTCGCCCACAATCCACATGTCTGTCCTTCTTGGATTTTGCTCCCTAATCAACGCCTTGTGTTCATCTAAATACGGTTCGACTTCACTTGTATTATGCAAGATGTATAAGTGTGTCTGCTCAACATCTTCACGAGGCATAATATTCACTTTGACTCCTCGAGTACCCTTCCCAGTAATTCTTCCTTCATGTCGATTCCTAGAAACTCCAATAGACTCAACTCCTGCCAAATATTCAGTACAAAACTTAGTAACCTCCTCAGCAACATAGCTTTCAACAATAGATGCTTCCGGCCTATATCGGTTCCTAACATAACCTTTTAATACTTTTATGTACCGTTCAAATTGGGTACATCCACCTCAAATAAGCTGGACCGCAATGTTTGATCTCTCTAACGAAATGCACAAGCAAATGAACCATGATATCAAAAAATGATGGTGGAACGTGCATTTCTAGCTGACACAGTGTAACAATGATTTCATTTTGCAATTCATCTAATTTGTCTGGATCAAAAACTTTTCCAAAAATTGCATTGAAAAAGAAACAAAGTCTTATGATGGTGTATCTCAACTTTTTAGGCAATATGTCTCTAACAGCCACTGGCAATAGTTGTTGCATTTAAACATGACAATCATGAGACTTCAACCCCACTAACATTAAATCTTGCATATTAACAACTCTACTGATATTTGATGAATACCATTGTGGTACCTTTACTCCACTTAAACACTCACAAAAACTTATTTTCTCCTTTCTTGATAAAGTATGAGAAGCGGGAGGCAAATATGTTTTCTTACCCTCGGAACATGGAGCTAATGTAGGTCATATACACATTTCAACCAAATCCAATCTAGCATCGAGTCCTTCTTTAGACTTACCTTTTATGTCTAAAATAGTTCCAACCAGACTATCACATACATTTTTCTCCACATGCATCACATCAATACTATGTCTCACATCTAGTGTCTTCCAATATGAAAGATCAAAGAATATAGATTTCTTTTTCCACGGACTCTTCTCATTTGTAGATTTTGACCTCTTACCTCTTTGAGATTTAAGCTTCTGAGTCTTACCAAAAGTAACATTGATGCATTCAACTCGTTCATATACTTGATTCCCAGTCAATGGTTGTGGAGCATCTGTATGGTCTTGCACCCCATTGAATGCCTTTTTTTAAATTTCAATAAGGATGAAATTTATCAAGAAATCTCTGATGCCCCATGTATAGAGTCTTTCTACCATTAACAAGTTGATGATAACATGTATTATCTTCAGATATGGGGCATGCCTTATGACCTTTGACACTATATCCAGACAGATTTCCATAAGCTGGAAAGTCATTGATTGTGCAAAAAAACATTGCATGCAACTTAAAAGTCTCATTCCGGTATGTGTCAAACACCAACAACCTTCATCCCATAATTGCTTCAAGTCATCAATTAAAGGAGTCAAATAAACATCTATATCATTACCTAGTTGTTTTGGCCCATAAATCATCAAACATAATAATATGTATTTTCATTTCATCCACAACCAAGGGGGTACACAGATTATAAATTATCAACATAACTGCCATGAGCTATGCTTGCTACTTAGATTCCCGTGGGGGTTAATACCATTAGTACAAAGTCCATGTCTAAGATTTCAGGAAATGCATTATCAAATGTTATCCATTGAGAAGAATTAGTCGGGTGTCGAAGCTTGCCATCAAAAATCCTTTGATCTGCATGCCATGTTAAGTTCTTCGTATCACTTGGATTTGCAAACAGGTGCTTAAATCTTGGAAGACTTGGGAGATACCAAAAAACTTTAGCTGGTGGCCTTTTCAAACGTACTTTACCAGCAACATTCTCGCTTGTTTCATAACGAGATGCCCCACATATTGGACATGCATGCAAGTCTTTGTAATCATTTCTAAACAATATGCAATCGTTAGGGCAAGCTTGTATCTTTGTATATCCCATACCCATTGGACACAAAATCTTTTTGGCATCATACGTACTATTGGGAAGTTCATTACCATCTTGAAGCATGTCCTTTACTATTTCAAGTAACGCAGTAAAGCTCTTGTAGCTCCACCCATTCCCAATTTTCAAGTTGAATAATTTTAATATAGCATATAATCGGGAATATTTACTACACCCCGTCCATAACGGTTGTTTTGAATCATTCAATAATTCATCTAACTCATTTGACCGATTGGTAAACTCTTCTCCAACATCGCGAAACATTTTATCCAACCGATCTTCAGACTCATTATCTTTATTGTCAACATACACATTAGATGTCGTAGACACACCGCGTTCACCGTGCCAAATCCATTGTGTATAATATGGATTAATCCCATTAACGATTAGATCATCATATATGTCCTCTTCACCTAACTTTTTCTGATTATAACATTTCTTACAAGGACACAACCACCTGTTATTACTATTCGGAAGGTTACTCTTTGCAAAGTCTAAAAATTTTCTAACTCCATCTTCGTATTCCGTACTAAGTCAATTAGCTATCATCCAACTTTTATCCATCACGTACAAGCCAATCTAGATAATAATAACCCTAATTAAACATTTGTTAACACTATTTTAACAAATTTCTATAATAATAACTACTACAACAACTACATTAATTTTAGTATTTACATAGTGCAAACAAGTAGCATTTCATGGACGCAAACAAGTAGCATTTATCCATCACGTACAAGCCAATCTAGGTAAAATAATAATAACCATTTGCCAATTCTAGATGCTTTCTTATACATCCTAACTAACCAAAGAACATGCCAAACACAATGTGTATTGAATCTTGCTAAACACAACTCACTTGATAAATTTGATGATTGGAAAGTTCGTATGCAGGTAGACTTATCGGCACTACACGATGAAATGTGGGAAGTTATTTCCACTGGCCCTATAGAAATATTAAAAATCAATACGGCTTTTGTTATATCCCTAGATGCTCCACAGTACATACAAAAGCCTAAACCGAAATAGACATTGGATGATAGAACGCGGAATAATCTTGACAATATTGCCAAGGATATTCTATTCAAAGCCGTGGATGATACAATATTTCCGAAGATCCGAAAGTGTGCTACTGCTAAAGAAATATGGGAAACTCTCATCAAGATTGGCGAAGGAGATGAACAAGAAAAATACAATAAGCTCACAATCGCCAAGAAGAAGTTTGAAGATTTCAAAATGCTCTCAAATGAAAGTGTTGCAGACATGGAAGCTCAAATGATCAAAGTTCTTGGAGAGATTAGTGATCTTGGAAAAAATATTAGCCAAAAAGAAATTAATCTCAAAATCCTACGAGGCTTACCATCTACATGGGATATGAAGGTTACGGCTATGCGCGATCACCGAGATCTAAGAATGTTGTCAACAAACAAATTATTTAGTGATCTAAAAGCATATGAGTTCGAAATGAAGGCCAAAGATGATGATGTTCATGAAGCTCGAAATTCTGCTCTAATGGTCGAACAACCGTCAACCTCCAGGTCAGTAGAAAATAACGTTGATTTTATGACTGACGAACAGTTTGCTTTTTTTGTTAAAAAATTTAGAAGGTTTATGCGAAAAGGAGACAACAAAAATTCTGCTCGTGGAAAATTCGTCTCTCGCATATCACAAGAAGAAAAAGTCGAAGAAAACAAGGATTTGTGCTACAATTGCCACAAACCTGGACATTTTAAAATAAATTGTCCATATCCGATCATTAGCAAGTATCAAGGAAAAAATGCTGAATCTACGCCGAACAAATCCGAAACCAAAAGGGTCCAGCGTGACAAAAGAAAAGCTCTCATAAGCAACGAACCAAACAAAAATGATGATTCAAAGGATTCATCATCAAGCCATGAAAGTTCATGTTCGGATGATGATACGGCGCTAGTGTGCAAGTCAATTGAGTTGAGTACAAGTGAAGATTGTCTTATGGCTCTTGAAGCAGAGGAAGAAGAGGTAACATCTAATTCTTTTAAATCTGTTAATTCTTCTTTTTCTCGTGAATCGATTGACAGTCTAATGCGAGAATGTCAAGAGATTATGCTCACTCATCCTCAACTCAAGGAGCGCAATAATATTCTAATTCTTGAAAAAGAAGAAATGAATAAAAAATTGCAAGATGCTTTACTTGAAGTGAGTAAATTGAAGAATGAAAATATTCATCTTCAAGAACAGTGTAAAGCAAGAGAGGTTAGAGAACATAACCTTCGGGCAACCATTGCTACGTTCACTAACTCGTCCAAAATAATGGATAAAATGGTGAGCATGCAAAAGTCATCAGGATATAGAACCAGAATCGGTTATGACTCCACATGTTCTCAAACCCCTCAAAATCTGACTAATTCTACTACTACTTTAAATAATAAAATTCAAGTGGTAAAATTTGTTAAAAGTCAGAATAGCACGATGAGACAAGGACTTGGCTATCAAACAAAAGCAAAATTGAATGTTGAAAGGCCGAAACAAATCTACACTACGGCAAAGCAACAAAAATTCTTCAAGCAAAGATATGCCAAAGAGTCACGTGCAAAAAGATTTCTTAGAAAAGAGGTAAGCTTTTCTAGAAATAAAGTTGGGAAATTTTATTCCACTCATAAGGATTGGTTGTGTAATAGATGTAATGCTTTTTATAGACCAAAACAACAATCCTCTTCCCAGGTGCCAAAATATAAAAATGTTTTTCAAAATTCGGCGCCAAAAAGGTTTTCAAAAGTGAGTTATGATTATCGTGTCTCAAATGGTTACAAATCGCCTCATCTTAATTCAATAAGATCAAGGTGGGTTTGGTTACCAAAAATCACTAACAGTAAAGGACCCAAGCAAGTATGGGTACCTAACGTTAATTAATCTTTTTTGCAAGATGTTTGGTACATCGATAGTGGTTGCTCACGCCACATGACTAGAAATAAATCATATCTAGTGAATTTTAAAGAAATCGATGGACCAAAAGTTATATTCGGAGGAAATCAAAATTATGGAATTACAAAAGGAGTTGGCACGATCAAGAAAAATGGATTAAAGATTGAAAATGTTTCATTCGTTGAAGGCTTGAAATTCAATTTGTTGAGCACTAGTCAATTTTGTGATAAAGGTTATCTTGTATAATTTTCTAAAGATAATTGCCTAATCAAAAATGAGCTCACAAATGAAGTTGTACTCTCTGGAAAAAGGCGAAAGAACATGTATGTTGTTGATTGGAGTACAAGCAAAGATTCAGTGTGCTTAATGGCCAAAAATTCGAATGAAGCAAATTGGGAATGGCACAGAAAGCTCAATCACTTAAACTTCAAGACTATCAATCAACTTGCAAAGAAGAATTAGTTGAAGGCTTGCCAGATATTATCTTCAAGAAGGACAAAGTGTGTGATGCATGCCAACGCGGAAAGCAAATCAAATCATCATTCAAATCAAAGACGCACGAGTCAACGTCAAGACCGCTAAGCTTACTACACATGGACTTATTTGGACCGGTTGATCCAATAAGTGTAAGTGGTAAGAAATATACACTCGTTGTTGTTGATGATTTTTCTAGGTACACTTGGACCGTGTTTCTCAAGAAGAAAAATGAAGTTGAGCAAGTTCTACCGAAGTTGTTGAAGCAACTACAAATGAGAAAGAATTGCAAATATCAAAAATACGAACGGATCGTGGAACCGAGTTCATGAATGGAGTTGTACAAGCTTTTTGCAATTCACATGGAATTTCTCATCAATTATCTTCCGCAAGAACACCACAACAAAACGGTGTTGCCGAAAGGAGAAATCGGATGCTCAAAGAGGCCGCACGAGTAATGATCAGTTCCGCCGGTCTCTCGAAAAGATATTGGGCGGAAGCTATCAACACTGCTTGCTACACGCAAAATCGAAGCATGATCCATAAGCAGTACAAGAAGACGCCATACGAGCTATATTAAGGGAGAAAACCAAATATTGGTTATTTTCATATTTTTTGGATGCAAATGTTTTATTCATATTAATGATAAATTGCATCTAAAAGCTTTTGATGAGCGTGCAGATGAAGAAATTTTTCTAGGATATTCAGCTACCAGCAAGGCGTTCAGAGTTTTGAATAAAAGAACAATGGTGGTTGAAGAATCCATACATGTGGTATTTGATGAAAAATCACAGATCAATAATGGTGCTCTGGGCAAAGAAATTGCACAAAATGGTAACAAGTGTCATATTGATTTTTGTGATACTAATGATACGTGTGAAGATGATGTTTTGCAGGGAATGGATGAGTTGGAAATTAATTCTCTAGAAAATCCGATCCCTCATCCAGAAGAAGTTGGAAATTCTTTTAATAATAATTTTGGAGGTGAAGCCGCACGAGAAAATGGAGATGCAGGACGGGTTGAAGTTGGTGATCCAGTTAGTGATCAAGTTACAGGTGATATGCATATTTTACGCTCATATTTTAGATACATCTTTATAATAATTTTACATTCATTATTTAATATTATTTAATAATTAGTTCTTTTTGGAGTTTAACAACTAATGAGCTAAATATAGTACTAAATATATATAAATACATACTAATATACATATTTATTACGTACTCCTATTAATATTTAATATATAATATAGAATGCACTAATATATATACTACGCATGTACATATATATATTATAATGTCAAATGTAGTTTGGTCGAACGAAGATGCATGCAAAATGATGTTAAATATTGTTTTGGAATAAACATTCAATTCATGCGAAGCGAATGGTCGAAGCTGACTTCGGACGTGCGGAGGATGTGGAATACGGCACAAAAATAGGAAAAGTGGATGGTTGAGGTTCATTGAGCCTATTTTTAAAATGCTATAAATAGTAGAAGTTTCCTATTTTAAAATGTTCATTCTTCCCTCCTCTATAGTATTCGTTGAAGTTGTTATCAATGTCCATTTGTGGCTAATTTCTAGTTGGTTTAGTGAATTGAAGCCCCGGAGTTCATAACGCTGTAAGGTTATTTATTTAACTTTATTATATATATGTTTTTATGCATTTTGAGTATTAAATATTCTTCTAAATAATTTGAATAGTTGTATCATTTAATTGCTAGGGAGGCCTACTAGTTATTAATTTGATATAATTATTTGCTATATTAGATAATGTTGTGCTACAAATTATTCTAATATTCAGTAGCAACTGAGGTTAATTATCGACGGCTTAGTGATAATTGGTTTCGGGTAGAATATTTTCCTAAATTAAATGCAACCGCTTGTGCTTGTGCTTGTGTTATTTAGTTTGTCGGTTTTCCTAGTTCCTATTGCTGCTATTAAATTAAATCTATAGCGCTTGTCTCAGATTATTTAGTAGTTAGGGGTAATTAAACCACTTGTGCTTTATTTACCTACAACTAAGGGAAAACAGAAATGAAATAATTTCACGACAAATATTCAATTGCATATTAATTACTTTATTAATCAATGATCAGTGTTGAATTCCGGTGGTGGATCTTTACTAACCAAGGTTTTCTATTCTGAGTGTTTTCAATATATTATTTTCATTTCTTTATTCGTTCAATTAAATTTCTTGTTTATTTAAATTCTCTTTTGTTTTATCTTTACTCTCGATATATTCCAAACCCCCTACCTTTAATTTGAGCACAAAACTTAAACTAGTTACTCCTCGTGGGATCGATCCTTACTCCCGCTACTACGTTTGTAAGGTTTTAATTTGGAAGCCTACGACAGCTCACCAACAGGCGAAGTCGGTGATCAATTTCAAGAAGAATCAATTGATGAAATTCGAACCAACACTGCCAGTACACAACAAATGGATCCACCCAGTACCATGCACCCATTTGAACTAGATTTCAGATGGCTCAAAAATCACCCTCCAGAATTAATTATTGGGAATGTACATGAAGGCGTGAAAACAAGATCATCTACCATGGAAGCATTGTTCACGTGTTATCTATCCCAAATTGAACCAAAAAGAAGTGGACGAAGCTCTTAATGATCCGAATTGGATAAATGCTATGCAAGAAGAGCTCGATCAATTGAAAAGAAATGATGTTTAAGAACTTGTTCCAAGACCGGCGAACAACAATGTTGTAGAAACCAAATGGGTCTTCCAGAACAAAGCAAACAAAGAAGGCGTGATTGTTAGGAATAAAGAAAGGCTCTTTGCAAAAGGATACTCTCAAGAAGAAGGAATAGATTTTGATGAAACTTTTGCACCGGTAGCCCGACTTGAAGCAATCAGAATTTTCCTAGCCTACGCCGCACACAAAGATTTCACTGTTTATCAACTGGACGTGAAAAGCGCATTCTTGAATGGGCTACTCGAAGAAGAAGTTTATGTCGAACAACCGCCAGGTTTTGAGGTAAAAGGCGAAGGTGATAAAGTCTACAAACTTAAAAAGGCATTGTATGGGTTGAAACAAGCACCTCGAGCTTGGTATGATACTTTGTCAATGTTCTTGATAAGCTGTGGATTCACCAAAGGCCTTGTTGACAAAACTCTATTTAGAATTCAAGATGGTGATCATATTTTATTAGTGCAAATCTATGTTGATGATATTATTTTTGGAAGCACTAAAAATTCTTTGTGTGAGAAATTTTCAAAGCATATGCAGAATAAATTCGAAATGAGTATGATGGGTGAATTGAATTACTTCTTGGGCTTACAAGTCAAATAACTGAAAGAAGGAGTATTCATCAATCAGGCAAAGTACACCCGCGACTTGATAAAGAAGTTTGGCCTTGATGGAAAATCATCGATCAAAATTCCAATGAGCACATCATTGAGGCTAGACAAAGATGAAGATGGAAAGGATGTCGATCAAACAAAATATAGAGGAATGATTGGTTCTCTTCTATATCTTACTGCAAGCAAGCCGGACATTTCTTTTGCAGTGGGAGTGTGTGCAAGATTCCAAGCAAATCCAAAAGAAAGCTACCTCACCGCAACAAAGAAGATAATATGATATCTGAAAGGCACAATCAATGTTGGATTATGGTATCCAAAAGGTACAGATTTTACTCTAATGGGTTTTTCAGATGCGGATTTTGCAGGTTGCAAAATAGACAGAAAAAGCACTTTCGTGACATGCCAGTTCTTGGGGGGAAGGCTTGTTTCTTGGTTCAGCAAAAAGCAAAATTCCATCGCAACTAGTACCGCCGAGGCCGAATACATTGATGCAGGAAGCTGTTGTGCGCAAATTTTTTGGATGAAGCAACAATTGAAGGATTACGGAGTTAATTGTGATGACGTTAGTATTTATTGTGATAATACTAGTGCAATCGCTATCACTCACAATTCGGTGCTTCACTCAAGAACCAAACATATCGACATTCGACATCACTTCATAAGGGAAAACCTTGAAAAGAAAAATCTAAAGATCGAATATATCCCTACGGAAAACCAAGTTGCTGATATTCTCACGAAACTTTTATGCGAAACAAGATTTTCTACCTTAAGGCACGAGTTGGGAATGATCGAAATGAGCTAAGTATCACTGGACTTAATCTCTCAATTTAAATTAATACTTGTGCTCAAAATAAATTGTTTTACGTGAATGAATTGTTTTATGGGATTATATGCATATGTTCATTCAAAATTTTGTATAATAAATTGCAATATGTGTTAGGAATTTATTTGTGTATTTGCATGTATTATTTAACGTGAAATCATATGCCATGCAAATTAATTTGATGAAATGTGCAATTCGTGATTTATTTGACAATTTGTTTAAAATTGCATGTTTTAATGTGTTATTTAGTCTACAAGTATTTGTTCATGTTTGTATAATTTAAATAATTTGTTTGCATGAACAATTTGTTTTAAAAAAATCTAATTTAATGTGTTTATTGCATTATATATGTGTTATGTGCATATGTGGTTTATGTGATATAATTGGCTACAAATATGTTAAATTTTTGTTAGTTTCTAAAATGTTTAGAATCTGATTTGTGTGCAAATTATGTGAAGTTGTTTCTAAATATTTATTTGGAATATATGTGATAATTTTGTTAATTTCCAAAATGTGTTTAATTTGATTGGAAATTTCCGTGTGTGTTATTAAATATATTGTTATGTGTGATTGATTATTTATGGCTAATTTATGCTACTAACGAGAT